GGCGGGCGAGGAGGCTCCGCGGCAGGCGGTGGGCGGCTGCTCGCTCCGGACGACCCCGGGGGCCGATGAAGGCAGCCCGAGTCCAGCATCCATCCGTCCGCCCGCCCGCCCCATGCCGGGGCCCCTGGGCCCTGCGCCCCAGTCACTAAGGCCGGCCCGCGGCTGGACACTGGAAGAGCCTCTTGGAGTTAATAGTATAATTTGATGTCTTTGCATTGATCTGTCCCAGGGAGGATGCCTCAGAGTGTGTGTGCATATGTGCCCACATGTGTGCCTGATCTGTGCATGTGTATGCATGTGTGTGCCCACAGGTGTGCATGTGTGCGTGCGTGTGTGCCATACATGTGCGCTCAGCATTTGTTCATGGCGATTATCTTCCAGCGGGCCTGGAGCCGTATGTGTTGCAGCACAGTTTGTATTCTATGTCATTTTTCCTATGATAGGTAGCAAATTCTTTGAGTTGATTTCCATGAGTGCTGATTGATTTTCACCAAACCATTTTACCTCTTTCAGTCCCTTCCTTTTGTAACTTTTGGCAAGTAGTTGCAGACTTAACAATTGTTTCTCTCTCCAGGTGCCTCAAAATGTCCTTATTGTCATTGTGTCATTTGAAATCACAACTAATCAGTCAGGTGGATGAAGGCAGGCATTTTTATGTCTGTTTTCCAGATAGGGGTCAGTGGCGTTAGCAGACCTGTCCTGGTTCCCTTAGTTCACGGGTGGCACAGCTAGGATTAGAAGTCAGGTTTTCCTCCTGCAAGCCTCCTTTCCTNCTCCAATGGTTGGTCAGTCACCCTAACTTACCTAAGTTTACAGCCCAAAATAAATTCCACAGTGGAAATCGAGCAAGCAGGTCCGGACAGCCAGGACGGCTAGGAGGGAAGCAAAAGTGATCGGTGAGTCGATGACAGGCGATGAAGTGTCGCCAACACACAGACGGGGCGAGGGCAAGGGCGCCACTCCCGAGGCTCCGGGCCGCACTCCAGGCACGGCGGACAACCGGCGCCCCTCACGGTGAGGCTGACCCCCGGCCCAGCCGCACCCCGGTCTCTCCTCCCGAATCAGGTGCTGCAGAAGCTGCAACCGTCAGGGCACTGACGACCGTTTCCAAGGAGCCCACACCGGCTGGGGTTCTAGAAGCCACAGGTCATTGTCCTCGCGTGGGGCCGGGGGAAGGGCGGCGCATGGCCCCGAGAGCGCGTCCCTTCGGCCCCCGCCGCCCCGTGGCGCTCCCGTCCCCCTTTCATGCAATGGAACACTATGTAATTGTGAGAAACAGTAAGGTAGATCTGGAGGTCATGAATGGAGAGGTGTCTATAACATACCGTTCAGTAAAAACCCATGCTGATTTTGTATGTCCATGGTATGTGTATTTAAATATGCATACACATCCACAGAAAGGTCTAGAAGAATATACTCTAAACTGTTGAAATAAGGTCATCGGAATGGGATTAGAATGAAGGGGGAGTAGATATTTTGCTTTTTTAGTTTATATTCATTTGTAAGATTTACTTTTTTGCAATAAATAATGAGTTTTATCACTTTAAAATGAATACTTTTGAGCAGTTAAGGATTAAATGGTGCATTAATATTATTGGTTTCTGTCTATAATTCTGTGTTTCTATCTGGGTTTTCTTTTAAGTTAGGAAACACTGAGGGGTCATTAGGTTGTTTGTCTCATTGTTAGGCTGATGTTCTTATTGACTTTTATTGTGTCATGTGAATGATCACTTCTCCATGTCTGTTTTTCCATCAGTGTCATCGGGAGAGTATCTTCTCACTGAAATATTAAGAAATGTTAAGTGAGCAGTAATATTAATTAGATTAATTCATTCCTATTTTGAGAAGTGCAAAACTTTTTACAGAAGTCCTGGAAGAGTCAACCTGCTAGGCGCTGGCTGGGTAGCTCAGTTGTTAGAGCACAGTATTATAACACCAAAATCAAAGGCTTGGATCCCATACTGATCAACTGCTTAAAAAAAAAGTCGAAGAGTCAACCTGCCATATGCAAATGTCAGGCTTTCCTGTGTTCTAGGCTGTCACTCCACCTGTGTGCACCACTGATCTGGGCTCAACGTTTGTCAGGAAGGAAGGGAACGTATTCACAGAAAAAAAAAATTTTTTATAAAAATGAAATATTTAAATACCACTTCATCATTTTCTTCTTTAATTCATGGTATTTGGTTTTGTAAAAGAAATAAGAAACGATGATTGCTTATGTGTGGGCCCTCAAAAAATAAATGTCCATTAATTTCATTTTTACTTATGTTTTCAACTAATCCCAGAATCCAGATTAATTTCTTCTAGCTTTCTGGAAGGGAATGAAATTTTTGTTTATAATTTTATGTAATCTGGACTAAAGATTTGGAGAGTATTGAGTTCTATGATTTTAATGGTTTTGTGTCATCTACTTTATTTTTATTTATTTATTTATTTATTTTAAAGATGACCGGTAAGGGGATCTTAACCCTTGACTTGGTGTTGTCAGCACCACGCTCTCCCAAGTGAGCCACGGGCCGGCCCTGTGTCATCTACTTTAGGTGTAGATAATTGAATATTATAGCTCCAAATGCCTTAATGTCTACATTAGTGAAACAGTGATGTACACAGTAGTGAAAACAGTTATTAACACATTTATTTTCCTTCTGTCTGTACTTCAATTCCAAAAGTTCAGCATCAAATTGGCTTTAGTTGTATTTATGCGTTGATCACAGTTCTGCTCCTTGGTATGAGACCGAGACGGGAAAGTTAGACACCCCTGTGAAAGCCTAGCCTAAGTCTCACATAGAGGGATGAGAACTTTTAGTTTAGTTATAGTTTTTAAATTAAATAAACAATTTGTTTGAAGTACAATTAGATAATGATAATTTTAAAATTTGCTAAAAGATTTTTCTAGCTGAAAGATTTTTGGTCAGTTAGGTCTTTAGCTAAGACGAGGTGTTGTATTTCTGTCAATAGAACATGCATGGGTTAATTCATGGTCCCTGTCATCTTTTCCAGCCATCATCAGCCAATGTGCCTTGGCTGTGGGGGAGGGTGGTTGCTGATGAGGCAGCTGTTCTTCTCCCCAGGACACAGCCCAGCATGTGCCTGGTTCAGGAGTGTCCATAGAGTCTTCTTTGAATATAAAGCATAGAATAATAATCGCACTCCAAATATTTTATCCTCTTTACCTTTCAGCTGGTTGTCTCTTCCCTTGAGTGAGGCACTGCCCCTAACCTAAAGACAACACGCTTGTGTTATCAGTAACATGTCTAGAGGGAGCTGTACACAAACAATGACTCTGTCTCTTTCACCCTGGGACCCGGGCCCTTGTTTCACCAAAAGTCAACTATGTAGGTGACCTGTAGAGACATCAGAGGAAATCACCTTCACGGTGGTTTTCCTTATCAAGTTTTTTTCCTTTATTTTTCAGAGATGTAACTTTTCTACCCTACTATTTCTCTCTCTTCAAACATTCTCCTCATTGCAATTTGAGAAACTAAAGGATTTTTTTAATATTCAATGTTCTTTTCTCTTTATTTTTTATTTGCTTTATTGAAACTTAATTGATTATACATATTTGTGGGGTACAGAGTTGACTATCAATATTTGTGTATAATATGTGATGGCCAAATCAGGATAATTAGCTTATTCATCATTACAATACATAAACAAAAGGATAATTTTAACAGGATATTTTGGTACCCATTCATCCTCGAGATACCAACACAAATGTCACCTCCCCAGCAAACCTGGCCCAATGGTCTTTCTCAGCAGAATCAGGTTCTCTGGGGTCCCACAGGCCATATTGTTCCAGTCTCTGATAGAAAGAAACCCTGTTTGGCAGCTACCTGCCTACATGGCTCTTTCCACCAGACCATGGATCCTTATTTTTCACAAAGAGCTTCAGAATGTAAGCAACTAATCACTTCCCCACCCCAAAACAGCACGGCAAGACAGACAGTGTAGGGTATTGGGACATCAGCTCTTTCTTGTTTTCTAGAGTTCCTACAGCAGGCCTGAGTAAACCCAAAGCAAGGCCCGTGTGGTGTGTCTTCTGCAAACTGCAGGTGCTCAGTCCACACAC